AAATAAGATTTAATTAATTTAATTATTTTCATATTTTTACCCCGTTCGGTTAATAGGTTTGAAAACTTAACATCATTAAATCCCCCATGGAGGATTATTGACCTGTTGCGGTAGCATGCAAACCAGATGGCACTCACTCGTAATTCAATCGTAATTGAGTAGAGAACGGTTGAAAATTAACATTCCTGTTATTTCCGGCTAGTGAGTATGCAGCTTTCATACCCGTTCCAACTATATATAATATTTTTTTCTAAGCCGGGGGGATTGTTAGTCAATTTTATTGACATCACACACTACGAATATCAATTTTAAAACAATCCATAGATTAGGGAATGTGTTAAAAATGTTTTTCTTATTTCTCACAATTCATGTTTTTATTTTATTTTGATAAAAATGCTTACCTTGTTTGGGATTCTTAAACCCAAAATCGTTAATTTTGTTCTTTTTGGAGGATTTGAATTGAATTGTAAATGCTGAGGGGCCAAAGCGCAAACGTTATTATAATTTAATTGATATTTATTCTAAACAAAAGGTTTTTTGTGATGAAGGATTTCATCACATTCTTTTCATTAATCAGAAAAACATATTCTGTATGGTCCTTAATGTATCAATTGATAGTAGTACATAATTATGCGTTAACAGCAATTCATTTATTTTTTTATAGCCATTCGAACGATATATTGGTTTTTTATGGTAACAATCGAGTAATTAGAGAAATACAAACATTTCTTTACAACGACCTTCATTTCATCGGCAAAGCTCCTTTTACATTTTTAATCCAACTGTGTACAAAGAATTTGATTTTTCTTATATAAAAAAAAAATTAATACTGTAGACCTTTCTCTTTCTTCACGCAAGAATCGTGAACACAAAGAATTGGATTTTTTTCTCTAAAAAAAGGACTACGTCGTTAGTTAAGTAGGTATATTTCTTATAAATATTCTACTATTAAATTCTATAAAATAGCAAACTGTATTATTTTACAATTGATAACCCGGCTATTTCGAATCTCATAATAACCAGTACGGACAACAATAAAGAAAATGCTATAATTTGTATCAACGATACGAAATATTAGATTTATGGTGTTGGACGCAAGGAAATCGTCATTAATCACCATTCTACCCAACACTTAGCTGATTAGTCGCCGACTGATTATCAGGAGACGGCCTTTGCCGGCCTGCGGCATTAGTCTCAAATGGGCATTAAACATAAATCATAACTCGCTTGTGTCCACTCGGCACATTAACGTGTGACTCACTGCCCCCGTAGATTAATTACGAAGCAACTCAGAACGTTCTCTTCTCTTTATATCATAATCAATGGCTATGGCTAAGAGGTCGGAACCGGAGTCACTAATGGTATAATAACACTTCATCTACTTGGTTATTACTTAACACAAGATTAGAAGGCCTGCAATTTTTTTAGGGAAACTTTTAACAACTTTGAATCATAATAAGTTAATGTCTTTTTTGAGAGTATTTACATAATATTCTTTCTATATTCGATCGAAATGTGAAAGGATAAAGCGTATAAATTGTATGAAAATAATCTACTCCATAGTAAAATAGTTTTATATTGTTTCGAAAAAAAATTATTGAAACGTATGAAATATATTTAATGAAACTATTTTATAATAGTTCTTACAGAGAAGGGATCGACATACCGACATACAAAGTTCAACAAAGAGAGAAGGAAGAAGAGAGAGAGAGAGAGAGATAGAGTGAGAAAGAGAGAGAGTGAGAGAGAGAGAGGAGAGAAAGGAGAGAGAGGAGAGAAAGGAGAGAGAGAGGGAGAGAGAGGGAGAGAGAGGAGAGAGAGGGAGAGAGGAGAGAGAGAGAGAGAGAGAGAGAGAGAGAGAGAGACAGAGACAGAGACAAAGAGACAGACAGACAGACAGAGAGTGAGGGAGTGAGGGAGGGAGGGAGAAGGCAGAGAGGAAAGTACGAGAATATTTATGTAAAGACAGCTCACAAAACCTTATTTTTAAAGTTTTAGATCGTTTTTACAATTTTCTAATTATTGACGACTGTTGTATAAATACATAATTATGAGTATAAAGTTTAATTTATTCAGAGGCATTGTTGTCGTAGAAAGGAAATCGCTAGTTCGGCCGCTTCCCAAGAGATGACAGTAGCTGGGTGATATAATTCGTTTTACAATGGTTTAAAGAAATCGATCGTAATAGTTTTATACAATTAATCATGTTTAAAACTATAAAATCAATTAGTAAAATAATTTTTAAACAAACTTTTAAATGTTATAAGACGAGATTGTAATTGTATTATTTTATATATACAATGAAGCCAGTGAACATTTTAAAACGAACATCGTCTTGAATAAAAAAACAAATTTAGTTGTTACTGCCAAGCTTTCGCCATATTTTAAGGTCATCATCAGGGTAAAATAATCTTAATAAAATATGTCTACAGAATGACATTTAAGTTTTTACAAGCGATCTCACATTTCCTTGAAGACCGACTCAGTCCTAATGTAGTCTCAAATACACATAACAAATAATAGACTTGCCCACAAACAGTCATCAAATAATCTCATCAATACCGGCGAGTATTCTAAAACAGAACCAACGTGAACATACTCGAAACTTGGACAACTTTAAACTTAACATATTTAATACTAAAGAGTTCATCAACACAAAATTAATACAGTTTACATGGATCGGTTACAACATAAAACACTGTACCAGTCAAAAAGATAACGGCGGTAAAATTTTATTTGTCTGATTTAAAACAGCTAAAAGTGTAAAAAGGATTTTTAATAATTTTTTTTACTATGGTACGAGTTATCATTTCTTTCCCTTCTGATCGATTTCATTCGCAATCGGTGGAGTGAACGTTGTGTAAAGTTGGGCTAATGTTTACTGCTTCATTAAACGACATCGTTTATCTCAAGGATGGTCACATTTCAACCTCCTATCCCTTACAATCTGGGAGATCAGCGAGTTTTATCTCGCCCTAAACCAACGTTTTTTATTGCTTTCATTCGCTATTTTGAGGATATAAGCGGCATAAAAGATACCGGCGTTATTCCGGCATGGTTGTACCCTATATATCGTAAATTGACATGGGAAAATTTCACAGTTCAATCACTTTTATAAGTAATGAAATTTTTAGTTTTATTGTCGTATGACGAACAAAGAAAAATCGGTTTCATAAATTGTAATTTAAGGAAAATAAGTATACCGGCAAAAATGATTAAATACTTAGAAATTATCAACAAAAAAATGTGAGCTTCAATTGGAAGTGTACGCATAAATTCACTAGTTTTCGTGGTCCCCTTGACCAGTTAATATCTTTCAATTAATTAAGGATTTTAGTTGAGATAAAAAAGTCAATGTCACGAGCGGGATTCGAACCCACGACCTTCGGCTAGATACGCCGCTACTCTACCACCTGAGCTATCGTGACTTCGATCCACTCGGACACTAACTTCCTATCTCAACCCCTCGCATAAAAATAAACCGCAAAGAAACTTAAAAAAAAATATAAAAAAACAATTATTTTATTTCTGTAGTACATAACAGAAAACTTTATGTAGGTACCTTTTCCGTATTTACATTATTCCGCAAACCATCCATATTTGCTATTGATTTGTCTCGTAGAAAATTTATTAAAGATTTATTTGTGTGGTACAAACATTCCAATATACATTTTAGTAGGTTTCCGAGAAGGAAACATATATTAAAGCAAAACAAACGTGTTAGTATTTTACTTTTACTAACGACAATTCTCGATGAATATTTTATAAAACCATCAACTATCTTTTTCTGCGAAAAGTATTTTGTTGAAAGTACGTGCTTTAGGCAGATGATAGGAATTTACGAACGAAGTTATCACTTTACAAAATTTAAATAATACCGCTTAGTTGGATTTTTCCTTACTACGTTCCTCAAATTAATTGCAACTTTGTGGTTAGTATATTGAAATATATACTTTACATTAAAAGAGAGACAGGCGCACAGTTTTTTCGAGTTTTTCACGTTTTTGTAATAAATACAATGACAATTTAATTTTAGTTTTAGAATAATATTATTCTTTTAACCAGAGAAAAGAATATATGCTAAAAGTAGGTTAAAATTGTGTTCAGTTTTCCTATTCGTTAATTTTTTTTAAACGATTGGCTTCAACATTCCCCCGTTCTGATTAAACAATAATTTAAAACCAAAGGAAAGCGTGAATAAACGACCATACTTTTACAAACAAAAATTCACGTCGAATATTTCAACAATCGTCCATTTTTTCTGGAAAAGTGGCTTAATTATAATGTACGTGCTTTAGGCAGACGGGACGACGGTTCACGAACGAAATTCTCAAGTATCAAACTTTAAAACAGACGAGTTAGGATGATGTATTTTTCACGTTTTTATATATTTTTCAAATTTATTGTTATGGAGAGATTATTGTTATATTATATTTATAATAATGCAGGCAATTGAAAAAAATCATATTCCAGGCATTTTGTAAAATTGTAGTAACAAAATGACGTATTATAAAAAAACATACATTATTAAGCAGTGAATTATTTTCTAAAACTATACCTTATGTACAAATGTTTTCTTGCTCAGCAGGCGGATTTTTAACATTACTATGATATTTAAATATTAGACTAGAATTTTTCAATATTCCGGTTTTCTGACACAATAGCTGAAGAAAGTACATGGTAAAAATCAAGCTCTCCCCTTTTTATTTATTAGCAAAGACTGCAACAACTAGAGCCCAAATGTTTTGAACTGTTACTTTCCTTAAACGGATTGCGGAGGACAAAGGTTAAGGTCTCATTGTTTAAAAACACAAAAAAGGCCCACCCCATAGCGAAAAGCGCGGTGCTTTCAAAGACTCTGCGACGTCTATTGTTTCGCCCCAAAGCTTGACTTTATTCCCGTGCGAGGCAGAGTACTTTTCCCAGATAAAAACTCAACAAATACGCTGTAAACGAAGACAATTGGGTTATTAGTTATCGTAATGGAAAAATAAACTTACGGGATTGTCGTTTAGGAAGAAACTGAGGCTCGCCGAAGGTTTCGACGGCGCTGTCGAGCAGTTCGCTCTGAGAAAATCGCCCACGTCGTAACGATCGAACTGAGTCTTTATTATTGGTTCTCTTTTAGGTAACTCTGTAAACAAAACAAAAACCATATAAATAAATACATGTTGAAATTGTTTTTTATTTATTTGACATGATATTTTCTAACAATAAGTAATTTGCGTACATATGCATATTTGAGGTAAAGTGGCGGGGCCCTTTGCGTCCTCTTTAGCATATCTCCATTTGTGTACCATACCTCCTGAAAAACGGGTACTCTCAACACGACACGCAAGAATGGCACAATTACACAGAAGACAAACACTTTGAGCCGTGAAGATGACCTCAATAAAGATCGAAACGTTGGCACGTTAAAGAAAATGTTTTTCTGAAACCTACAACACACCAGACAGCATCTCACGATTTCTGAATTACTCCTGAAAAACATTATTGTCGATGTAGATTGGAAAATGTTCACGAAAAACCCATTTAACTTTACTTTAACAATAAATACTTGTAGTATATACATCGTTTTGTGAATGACCTGCTATTCGATAATCTAAGACGCTTTCAATTTTACCATTCTCTATATTATTAGTTGTAGTAATTAATTTCATCAGCCGTAAATATATTTTTAAAATTTTTTTAATGAACTATTTTATAAATATTTTAATATTCTCGTAATGAAATTTAATAAATGAAAAAATAAATATTGTTGACAAAAAAACCCTGTAAATTAATTCGTATTATCGTTGAGTCCTCTCAAATCGTTGCCATTTAAACTGTAAAACAAATTAAGAAGCAATACATGTTATACTATTTTTAACATCGCTAAATGATGATTTATGTAAATGATTTAAAAGATAGGAGTTAAAATGTTGTTAAGAAATAAATCACCTTCCTGATGTGTGATTTAGTTTGAAAGCCAATTTAGAAAGAACAACCGACAAGTATTCCCAAGGGCCATTTATAAGATCCCGACAAATTAGAGTATAAAAGAGGCCTGCGGCTAAAAGACGTGTTTTACCTTTAGCTAGTGAAAGAACGTTTTCCCGAAGGGGAGTCATTTCGACCAAAATCCCTGAGAGTCGTACTAACCGATGAGCCATCCTTCTCTCGTTGAAAGAAAGCTTTGCGAGAAAGCCCTAGTTGACAAGAAAAACTATTATTTTCAAAAATATTTTGATTTTGTAAGATTTCAGCTGGTAAATAAATCTCTATACAGATTAATTCAAATTATCTATCTATTTTCAAATTTTAAACCGATAATTAGCTTAAATATGACGGTTAGTGGAATTTTTAACAAATAGGACAATCATTGTTGGAAATGTAGAACAAGCATCTACCCTACCAAACCCAGATTTTTTCTTTTGTTGAAAATGTTTCAGAACGGGACGTTTCTAGAAAACAATCCGTGCCTCCGTGTACCCCGGGCGATAAATCAGGGACATAGGTCCGTGTCTCGGTCCCGCCCCTAATTGATACCATGTGACGAGAAAGTCCTGTGGGTGGGTTGATCCGCCGGACGCCGTAGATCATCCCTCCCTGTGTTTAATAAATAGTAGTGAGTTAACAACGGTATTGTTACCTACTATTTGAGTTATCTAAACTATTATCCACGCAGGCTGTTGCCACTTCATCCCATGTCCCGTTATCACTTGGAGAAAATCGGGAAGTGCAATTCTGGGAAGGAAATATTTGTGATTATAAAAAATATCGTATTTGCCTTAATTCGACATCACAACTGAAAAAGAACATTTTTTAATCTAAATTTAAACTATTTTTACCTAAATGGGATAAATTGAGTGACAGTTCGTAACTAACACAACAATTGGGTACAGTTTGTAGATTATTTGTGCAATTGTGAAACCACAAATAAAGTTTAATTTGGATACCCATGCATTATAAGTCACTAAAAATATTCTGCTGGGAGCCACAACCGGCTGACTAAAGAGTAACAGAATAAAAGATACGAATCATTCGGTCAATTTTGTTTAAACGGTTATCAATGTTTTCAACGTAAGAAAACAAGATTGAAAAAATAAATGTTAATACAGGTTACATACAAAAGTTCCAAAATATTTATACTCGTATTGACAAAATTCATTAATTATTTATGTATCTCATGTCATATGAGATGAGATTTCATTAGTGACTGGTTACTCCTAAAATTTAATGACGGCTATACACCTACACGTAAATATGATATTTATCGCGTACAAACCTCTAATTGTTTTCAATTTAATTCAAATAAAATTTATGTATAAAGGTACATATATTTAAATTAGAAAATATAGGAGCACTTCTGAATATTTTTTACTGTTAAAAAATGTATATTTTTTGGTTTACTGTGATTTGAAGACAATCGGTATTTGATATTTCCTACTGACTGTCGCATTAATGTGTTAATGGACTTATGGTTCTCTTCTTGGTATCAAATTCTCGTTTCATAAAAAACCCTAACAGGTGTCTAAACTTATGACTTTACGTATAATGATGATTATTTGTTAAATATAACAGTTGTACAAAGTACTTTGTTAAGTAGCTATACATGCGTAATATGTATAAACTGCTCAAAAATAAATAGGGATATTTATAATTTATTCTTATTCTATTAGTTTTAATTATTTAATTTAAACGACATATTCTTGTTAGTTGGATAAAACAAAATAGAAAATACGAAAAAAAACTAACTAATATTATTCCTCAGTTTTAATAACAGATTTCCGTAAGTATAGTAAACGTGAAGATTATTCATTTTGTAAACGAACACCTTTTCTCTTCTTTTTCCCACTTTAATCCAGTTGTATTCTCTTAATACATGGAAAGAGACCATCTAGAAGTTGGCAATATTATTGTGAGAATGAGGCATCGAGGTGACAGGCGAGTAGATATCGTAGAATGAGTTGGTATTTCTCAGTGCGTTGTCTCCTGGGGTTAGCCCGATTCCGAGATGCTGGAAGACCCAATAGGAGGATAGTAGTGGTTCTCAGCGCATCAAGAGCTAAAGGAGGACAGAAGGTATTATTACTGCTGCAAGACGGAACACTTTCCAATGCGCCCGCAAGATCGTAAATGATATTTAGATTTAGTACAATATATTTTGGCAAGGCCTATATAAACATAATCCATTCGTAATCGTCTGTGAGAAGTTGGCCGTTTTACCCTTCGAGACCAAGTGCAGCAACAGCTTGCCACCAGCAACTCATGAGAATATGGTGAATTTATGTTTCTTATTGGGGGTCGCAATGGCATCAGACAATGAGATTCTTTAACGTGCACCTGGCACATAAGCCTTTTCACATGTTTAGATTCTCAAGTTAGGAGAGACTCACCTCTGGTCACTGTATAGTGTGAACACCGTGAGGTTCGATGTAGAAGCCACCACATCCATCGACTAATCATACAGACATGCCGACTTATCCTTCTTGCCTCTTCCGAAAATTAACATTTTGCGCTTAACCTTGTGCCGCATGTAAACACTAACCATCCCTAAGAATATGGTGCAGCGAGCGTCTAGAAGAGAACACCAATTGGAATGCTGTTATGTTTACTGACGAGTCGCTGATGATGATATATATATGGAAAAATAGTACAGTCCAATATAAACGATATAAGGAATGACAACAAAGTGATTACTAATTATAAAAAAAGGTGCAATTTANATGTGGTCTAATAAATGTTCTGATCTTGAAACTACGCCAAGCTTTCAGTGTTTTATTTCACTTTCCTCAGGGCTCTATAACGGATATATATACATATAATATTCCAATAACGGATATTGCTAATTCCATTATCCCCTCAAAAGATTGGAAAACTGAAACAGAAACGTGTTGACACTCTCACAGAAAAAAAAGTAGTTTCATCGGAAAGATGATAATAGCGCAAAGGAAAATTAAGGATGAGAAACTTCACAAATTCCAAACACAATGTATGGAAATAAAGAAATCAATACTTTATGTCGCAGTAGAATAAAAGAAGACTCATGTAATCAGTGTCCCTGAATAAATTGCAGTAATAACTGAAGATGGTTCGGCCCTTATATTAGAAGTCTCGACATTACCATCTCAAAGTAAAACACTTCGACCTAGTACATAAAATAAAAACTTAATTAATAAGAAAATCTGGGACGAAGTCATTTTTGCTGAATGATAAAATACAACAACCTATTTGAAGGGTTCGATAATAATCTTCCGTTCTAAAAGGACGAAAGAGGGGAAAGTTTGCTGGCGCAACAAATTACATAGAAGCTTAAATCCCCTTATCCGGAGACACACATATGGGGAGGAAGAAAATTTTATACGCGCCATATGTTTGAATGCAGATTTAAAAATGCGTTCTTTTTTTTAGCCACGTTTTAATTGTGACTGTATTCGCACTGTAATTAACAATAAATTAATCCTTTCGTGTGTTTATAATTCACACAGAAAAAAGTTTAGAAATTTTAGCAAAAAGATTTAGAACAATAAAAAAATAACCATGCCCGCAGGAAAACCAATTTTCGGAAAAATTGTTTTTGAGAAGACACATTAAAAGGTATATTTGTACAACAAATACAAACAGCTAAAGAATAAAAAAATGGACTGGCCGATTTAATAAATCAACTTTTGTTTCCTCAGATTTCGGTTTCAGCTGAAAAAAAGCGTATTTAGGATAGTCATGTTTCCTAATCGATTTACTGTTTTGTTCCTAGTTCAAATCTGTGGTCATCGGTTTTCTTCGAAGTTTGTAATTAAATATTTAGAATCGTTAGGACAGACAGAAATCTTCGATTATATTGGTGTACGTATTTATAGTTTAGTTAGTCAAATGCATTTCAGCACAACGCATTTTTAAATTGAGGGTAAGATTGTATGATACTAAAAAAGTAATGTACTTAATAAATAATATAAATTATTTGCACTTATTACAACAAAAAGCATTGAAATATTTCTGATTAAAAAAATCGGTAGCTTGAAAACACTCTGGCAGAAAAATAAAATCATAATACAGATACAAGAGATACAAAACCATTTACCCTGACTAATAATAAAACTGTCCGAAATAGCACAAAAAGAGTGGTAATTGACAACCTTTAAAAAGTAGTTACAGGTGAGGTGATTTATGAACACAAATCAATAACCACTGGTCATTATTCAGATCATTAAAACACTGAACGGACTGACGAAATGAGTGCCTCAAATAAGTGATTTAATTAATCAAAGATATCGACATACAAATCTGAATCTCTTAAAAACATGCAAAACTAAAAAAATATATATATAACTTAATCTAGTGTCGAAGGCTCTTGAAATGAGAGCTGAAAGACCAAACCTGATAACATGAAAATGACAAGAAACGCCCAATACGTGAATAATCATTGGTAATAAGTTACAAAACCAAATTACAATTTGGTTTAACAAAAATACCAACAACTATGTATGAACGAAAAAACATTTCATTCTCTTTTTTGCTCAAAGGATCAACTGATTCTTTATTAATGATAACCCCCTTTTTTTTACTTTACGTTTATTAGTGCTATCTGAAAATTGTGCGATCAACCAGCTTTCATACGATGTTGTATACAAACAAACTATATACATATATAATAAATAAATAAATAAATAAAAACCTCTTCTTAACAGCCTCTTACATATATAGGCATTTTTTTAAAACCAGTAACAATTACTTAATAAATAATATTCTTTTGGTACATAAATATCACAAGCGTTTTGACTAGAAAAATGAAAAAAATTTTCTAGTCAAAACGCCTGTGATACTTATGTACCAAAAGAATATTATTTATTAAGTAATTGTTACTGGTTTTTAAAAAAAATGCCTATATATGTAAGAGGCTGTTAAGAAGAGGTTTTTATTTATTTATTTATTATATATGTATATAGTTTGTTTGTATACATATCGTGGAATGTGCAATGTGTTTACGATTTGACTTTGTATCTGTAAGTAACAGAAAACTGATATTTTATTACGATTTATTCAATTTATAACTATCTAAATGATTATGTACTTATGTCTCTGTAGATCCCCTGAAGAAGGCAATAAAACTTGTCGAAAGCTTGGGCGTTGATATAATAACATTGTATGTTTGAAGACCACAACCCGAATCCCAATCAACATCATTATCTGAAAATTGGTTTAATATGTAAAAAAT